AACATTATATTTCCACAATCATCACTGATATTTTGTATTGTGTCTCATTATGAGATAATTTGTTGGGATGTATACTCATGGCATAAAAGATTTCCCTTGACAACATTTATGATAATGATGGTTAATGAGTTGAAATTTTGATCATGATCGCCATGGTCTAGATACTATATTCTTTCAGATCTTGTAGATTTACAGTATTTATCAACTAATTGAGACGAGACGACAGCCAGAATTTGAGAACTTCGCAATCGAGCCGATATTTTGTTGGCACATGAAACTCGGTGGGAGGTGACAACTCTGGTCGCAATGGAGATGACAGATAGACGAAATAGACACACCTTTCCAATGATTTTACCTTGATTTTTCTCTTTAAAAATCCCCTAAATTGAAAAGGACATGTGTGACAAGTGGGTCTCCAACTGTGCAGTGTACACAGTCAGTATAATCCAACGACACGGGACAAGACAATAGTGAGGAGCGCAAAATTTCATAAATGCAGTATTCTGAATGCAAAACAAATCTGATAGGGCCAAGGCCCTTCACAAATTTCAAGATCACTCTGTTGATATTGTCTGGTTGCAAGTGAGAGTATTGACAAATTAGACACTATTAATGGCGCTTCTAGAGTCTGGAAAAGTAGGCCGTGGTTCCTGAAGAAAAAAATAGTTGTCACAAACGCACGGGAAATTTGTGCCAACAGCACCTTGTGTAGAACGCCCTTTTCCCCTCAATGTGAAAGATAATTGACGACAGCCTTGATGCCTTCTTCACATAAGTCGTGTTTTGTGAGCATAACGAAACGAGGCGTTCGTAATGCGTTGATGTAACACCCAAAGCGCCCACTAAATTTCAAAATAGATCACACTGGTATATATATAGGCTTATTATCATTCATTTAATCGAGTGACAACAAGTTTTGTATTGACTTACAGATTCTCGACTTTTTCTAATTTATTGTCAGTCATGACTGTCAGTGAGGCGGAGTGTTGATATTGCCACAATTCAATATTTCTTCTTAATTACACCAAAATAAGTATACGTACTAGAAGCACGCCCCTCCCCCTCCGTCCCCTAAAAAAACAAATTTCTTTTTTAAAGAATGTCTTTCATTCTTCGGGAAGAATGAAAGACATATTGTTATTTTCATTGACTTTTACGAGAATATGTAGAGATGCTGAGTTATCAAACTGAAATATATTATGGCCCTCTATTAATATGAAAAGATTATGCAATTTTACGCACAATTGTCGTAAAAATGCGCGCACGTTGACCTTATTTCAAGTGCGCATCGTGGTGCGTCTCTCAGAATAAACCTGATACTTAAGGATGACCCTGAAAGCAAAAATCGGTCAATAATTCTCGAAACATGAAGATCAGACACTCCAATAAATATTACCATCTCAGTGGCGTATCCATCATAGGACATACCCGATGCACGCCCTCCTGTTTTCCAGACCGTTAAAAAAAAAAAAAGGATAAAATCATTACATTTTTAGAAGTTTGGACCATTTTGTCCATTAAGAATATCATCCTCTGAATATTGTAATCCAATTCATATATAATTTGTTCATACTAAAGATTTAGGGGGCCTCCCTTCAAAATGAAGTTAGTATAGACGCCTTTTCTTGATTGATAAAAGTTTTTTGTCCCCTTCTTCCTTATATAAGGGCCAGCAGTGTTCACAAACTAAAAACATCGTTCTCTGGATAATCTCTTGTTCTTGAAATACAAGGTGTCTTACTTAACTGGGATCATGGACATATTGGCGACAACCTGTACAACTATTTGTGTAGGTGAGAAATTTGGCAATCCTGTTCCTTGTTGTAGGTTGGCTTTCAAAAATAGGATCCACATACCATCGTGCCCCTTTACTACCAAATTTCCTTTCTGTTATGGTTGCAATGTTTTTCTTCTCTACTGCTTTTTGTGAAAATCGCTTCGACACACCTGCGAAATACAGACCACAAATAGTTTCCATCACCTCGTATTGAAATTAAATGAAAGCATTAGGTCAATATTTCCACGCATTGTGCTGTCAAATATTGTGTTGATATGGTATCAGATTTTTTTTCAAAACTGAGCGAGTCTCAATTGCCGTAACTTATGGAGGCTTTGTGAAGGCGACAAAAGACGCTGGCTCATGTCAATGAAAGGATTTTGGCACTAGTAAGGTACTTGTAGTGTATTGTAATATTTGATTGTGGGTGATTGTGTGGGGGAACACTAACCGTGCATGAGCGATGATAAAATGAACCTCAAATATAGGGGAAAGGAAAAAAAAATGTCATTATATCTTGTTAGATAATTAATTTTTCTACCACAATGCATTTCTTAATGTTGTCCATTAATCATCACCTTCACGCTGTGTACTGCGTTTCCTGGCAAATTAGTATCTATTATTCAGTTCACAAATATGTTTTGTAATCATTAATCATTTCGTTTAGTTATCTCAATAATACCAGCATATTTCCATCATCATGATGATTTGTAAGCAGATGTTATACTAGCCCAAAAAATCAAGCTATTTCATTCGGGGATACAGTTAACAACTTAATCATTCATACCCTTAGCAATTTTTGAATTGTTTTAAGTATGTGAAAATTTGATTTTTCTTGGTTTAAGTTTCTTGAGAACCTGACATATTAAGCTTCCATTTAAAATTATTCGCCTTTTATTCTTGAGATACGAAAAAATATCAAGTTTACAAGGGGTATGAATTTTTAGTTGTATATGTCCTGATGAGACTACGCCTGGCTTCACCGAATCCCTCCCCTGGTGGAGAGCGTCAAAGAAAAAATATGTTAAAAACCATGCAGACAAATTTTTTAATGTTCTACATACTGGTCTTTCATATTTTCTTCACTATACGTTACCAAATAAAGAAAAAACGTAGATATAATATTGATACAAACAAGTCATGTCTAATACGGTCACTGTTATATCGGGGATGGATCGGGAGGATGGTGGTATTGCTACATGTTCTCAAAGTCTTACAAAATACGCATTTTTACTTTGCAAAGTCGCAAAGATGATCTTATCTACTGAGGATCAAATAAAAGTTGACGTTTTCAAGATTAACAGATCGGTCCGTTGAAATAAAGTGATAGAACTTACAATAATAAATGGTAATTCTTACATATTCATGAACCCAATATTTAAGAAAAGAAGAAATAAAAGCTCCTTTTAAAAAGAAAGAAATGTAAACCTGTTTAAATCATTAGGACGTACATGGGCTAACCACACCATACACTTTTTCAATCTGTGAAATTATACCGTTTTCCATTATACCTTTGTAGCTCTTTTCAAACCCTCTTTGAAGAGACTGAAACGCAGTTTGTAGCAGGGTAGAAGCGTAGACTTATATCGACTTGATTATGATAGATTTACCTATTCTCATATATTTTTGTTGATTATCTTTATTCTCTACTTTTAAAACTTAAATTAAAAAAAAATCAAGTTCATTATAATAATATAATATAGTAGATGTCATTTCAGGGGAAGCGACCACATTAATCTACTCGAGATCAACACTATTTTAACGATGGATATTGATCAATACATTCGCGATATTATGAAGAAAAAATATCATAGCGTTTCCGCACGCTATATCCATGTCGTACATTCAATGAGTCATCAAGTTAGTATAGAATATGAACAAAATTGTGAGTAACAATATTGTTTCCTCCATGATATCCGTATTGCTATTGAGTTTCTGGGTAAACTGTTACTTCAGAGCTACAAGTAGGTACTACAATTCCGGCAATTTTTTTACTGGCACATATACATCTTTCACCTGCACACCTGGACATCCCCATGTCGCCACACACATGCACTCGCACACATCTGCAAGAATCTTCAGCAGTGAAGGAGGCAGATTATTTTGAAGAAGAAGAAGAAGAAGAAGAACTTCAAGGGTTTATATGAAATGGTAGCTCTGCATTTAAACTTTGTCTCCCTTAAAAGAAATAGACGTATGTATGCTTTTAAGAAAAAAAGCAGGTAACATACAACAAGAAATATTACCCCAAAAATGTATTTATGTAGGGAGGATTGAGATATATTATTTCAGTGTCTGTCATTTTCATTCAAACATTTACATCCGTTTCCAAAGTTATGATGTAAATCACAACTTTGGAAAAAAACATTTTTTACCGGATATGGTTTTGAAATGGGAATTATTCAAAGTGATAAATCACACATTTTCTGGTAATGGGAATGTTCATGACGTAAATAAATGGAGATCCGTGTCTTTCTGAAACGTGCTTCAAAATCAAGATTTTTGGCCAAATACAAGATGACTTTTGAATTGACCGTTTAATCAACTATCAGAAGAGATGAAGGTCTAGTAGTATACGGTAACTGATACGAGTGTTTGTTTGTTGTTATGTTAATATAGTGTAACCAGCTCAGAATGAAATGAAAGCATTACGATTCAAAATGCACAACATCACTTGATACAGATAGCTCCAAATATTCCAAGAAACATGTGGAATATTATTCACTTTTACCTGTGAACATTACCAACATCTACATGTAAATGACTTTACCATGTTAACCGCTACGAATAAAAACAAAAACATAAAATGGATTGGTTGATCATGATCCCTAAAGAAAAAGGCTTAGCGACCCTGACAAGATCTAACTTCCTGTAATCAAATTAGACTAATCTTAAGTTAAACCATGATAGCGGTACAAACAGTTATGGAATTGAACCTGTGTAAAAAAAACTAGACCTGGAATAAATTAATCTTGGAACTATTGGTACTCTGTTCCCCCACGAAATGGCGCTATGCCTATGCAGGCCTATCTCTTCGGATCTCGGGGTCTATGTTTAGATCTAAGTTAGAAAGAAGACAGACTCGATGGGTTGAAACACTGAACATGTGAAAGAAGGAGGCTGTGAGGAACAGCGAAGGTCAAGGTCAATGTCTACTTCTTCACTCATAACTTAGTTATTCTAAACATCGACGTTGAGACGGGCGTTGAGAATCAATGCTTACCTTTCTTTAAGCCCTGCTCTGTCGGCTATTTCTTGTGAAGTTTTGGGTTGTCCATGAAAGCTGCCCATGGCCTCGAATAATCCTGTCTGACGTCCAACAGCAATAGACAAGGTCAGAAAACCGGCGTTGATGGTCTGGGCCATACGATGACCGAAGGCCATGATTGTTTCCCCATCAGCACCTACTGGAGGACCTGCCGTCACCCCCGGCGGACCCGCAGCCATACCAGGCGGCATTTCTCGGGGCATGGACTCGGGCATGTTGCTGTTGATGGACACCGGTTTGCCGGGCAGCTGCGGGGGGAAAGAAGGTGGTACTTGCGCTGGTGATTTCAGCATGGTTAGGATACGGGTTTGCTGTTCCATAATGCTTATCAATTAATCGAAATTTCTTAAAGTTGAAATATTTGACCCGTTATCAAGCGATGAAGTGTACTACGTCTGGTTACAGTTTCAGATGAAATCAAACTAATTTTAGTTTAGCTTAATCACGTAACAGATTCAGCTCTATACTGTGCAGATTTTCTATGACTATGTTGACAGAAATTTACAACGTCATAATGCATTCTGATTGGATGATGAGTTTGTTCGCTCATGCGCGATCGATCGATCGAGCCCGCGCCCATGCAAACGCCAATAATGAGCTGACGTGCTATGTTCGCATATGTATGAAAGTTTCATTTCATTTTATCATTTTTAATTTTTATTCTAGAAATTGCAGCTCTTTCGTTATTACAGATTTAGAGGGCTATTATCGGGACAATATTAGACGGAAGCTTAAAATGTTAACCCCTTCGCACTCGTATTGCTACACTGATGGATTTGGGGGGGGGGGGGGTAAAACTTGCTGACAGATCTGAAAGAAGAACTCTTGTCACTGAGTCTTGGAAGATTGAAGATCACTTTGAGGCCTCGCATGACTGCTTTCCAAACTTTTGGAGATTTTGCTGTCATTGACCCGTGCTAACCTCACTGAGAATCTTCTAGTCGGGTTTCTAGTATAACATTCTTCTCTGATTTCGTGATTATATTTTGTTGTTCCAATTTTCGGCGGATGTCATTATCTTACCGACATATTGCTTTTTGAACTTCTTTATTGTATGTTAAATTTGTATAAAATAAAATTAAAATCAATATCTTATATACCTTCTCTTAGGTTGGAGATAACATGCTTGTAAGAAGTAAGGTTATCTATTATAAAGGGCCTTTGGCAGGGGCGGAACCAGTCGGCGGCAGGGGAGGGAGCCAAAGAAAGGGACTAATTCGTGAGAAAATATTTAGCGAAACAGCCACGCGGTGAATAAGCGGGGGGGGGGGGGGGGGGGGGCACTAATTTTTTGTTTGCCCCCGAAAATTTGAAAATTGCACCCCCCCCCCAGGGAAGGCCCTCCTCTGAATCTGCCACTGGCCATTTGATCAAATTTTCCTGCCCATTAGCTGTATAGCTGTGTTTTATTCATGATTTAAACGTGTTCATAATGATTGCCCAATTAACTGCGGAGATCAATATTCAGGATATGACTTAATTCAATCATTAAAAAAAAGGTGTATCTTTAAAATTTACAAACTAACTAATACGCTATATAATATATGCCGAATTCCTTGAGAAAAAGGCAATTGCTATATCATATAATCCATTCTGTCTTGACAGTGTTTTTTTCTTCATACTGCACTCCTTTTTTTACCGACTAATATCGATTTCGAAATTACAAGATTAATTTGGTTTATATACAAATTGCTTGTGATCAGAAAGTAGAGAATGGTGTTAAGTTCTATTAATGTTCTAGATAACTGTTGGTCAAGCACGATCTTTTTCGAATCGATATAATACCATGTAGGAGCAATAGCAGAATATGTACATTACTATTTTGGGGAGGGTGGATAGGGGAGAGGTAGTGACCCCATGGTGGCTAATGGGGCTTGGGATTCTTACATGCTTTTGCGGTTTTGCCTACATGTGCCTCGCCACTTTTTTGTTGGTTCCTTGAGATTCGCTACTGGTTGATACCAAACTTAAATTATATATTTTGTGTGGATGATTATTTTGATAGTACCAAAAAGCCAATATAGTTATCGTACTTTTTCAAGCGAATGACAAGAAGTTACATTATTGTTGTGTTTTTGAGCATGTACATTTGGATGATGGTTGTTTGTTGTTCTTAAGAATAAGTCATATAATATACAGCACTTTGTAGAAAATAATGTATGTAGAAAATGATGTGATTAACCGTCAGCTTACCCCTCCTATCACCATTGTGGGATTAAGTAGGGAGGTGAAACACCTATATAGCTCAGCTGAATTGACTTCCTTCCACTCATTATTGTGCCCCCAAAATAATCCACACACAGACAAAATAATTAAGTTCCATTCAGAGAAGGATTGCAAAGAAAACCACATTTTCAATTGGATTTAGAACAGTTGACCGACCACTGAACCTAGGAATATCTATAAGCGTAATTTAACCCCAAACGATGGATTGGGAGCAAGGTTATTTCATCAATTTTTGTGTGTCTTTTATGATTTTTTTCTAGGATATTATAATTTAGTATCAACAATTTTGACACCACTGTTGTATAATCGCAAACAAAAAATGATTGTGTTGGTTTTAGTAGTTATGTCATCAGTAGAAAGTATCTCTTTTTCTATGGACTTTTGAACCAATGATGAAATGACTAGGCTGGAGAAACATAATCTCATTCAAAATTGAACTTTTAAGATCAACTTATAAAAATCAAACAATTAGGATCGACCATTTAGGATCAACAACTGAGGATCAACCAATCATGACTGACCAATCAGGATCGACGAATAAGGATCAAGCAATAAAGATAGATCACTCAACATTGGCAATGATGGTTTTATGATGTTCGACCAATCGATATCAACAAATCAAGATCAAACAATCGGAGTCGGACCAGGGGACAACTCGGCCCAGGTACAAAAACGGTCAGTTTTTGCATGTTTAGGTTTAGGGTTAGGTTAAGGTTTAGGGTTAGGGTTAGGGTTAGGGTTAGGGTTAGGGTTAGAGTTAGGGTTAGAGGTAAAATGACAAAAAACGACAGTTTTTGCAGCTGGGCCGAGTTGTCCCCTGGTCCGAGTTAGCCCGGATCCAAACAATCACTCAGGTTCAACTATTCAGGATCGACCAGAAAGCAAAAAAAAAACAAGGACAAATATATCTTATATAGGCCTATGCATATAATTATAATCACTATTTTATCATACATAAACTAATAAAAAGTTAAAGACGTTAATATTCTTAACGATTGAACGCCGGTAGCACTCAACAAAAGTCAACATTCGCTAATTAGGATTGAAACTTTCATACTCAAGCAAAGTTTCTATTTCAGTGCGCTTAAAAGAAAACTTTTCTCACTTGCTTTTTTGTACTTTTCTACAAAAAAAAAAAAAATAATCGCATGGACGCGAGCAACATCCGAAAGACATTACTCCGATATCCCCCCTTAATTTCTTTTGCACTTTGAATAAGTTTGAAAACAGTTCCATTAATGCAAATTTTTTCAAAAGTGTTATAAAGTGCAATATGAATTAGAAAAAATGATACATGGAGGGGGAGGGATGCTTGTGTATGCTCGTGTTGAGTGTGTGCATCTTCCTCAAAAAGATTTTGAAATATTGATTAAAAACCGCCAAGAGACAATCATTGTGATTATAACATTGTTTTAAAGCAGTTTTATTGCATACTTAGTCAGGGCATGCAAGACATGTGGCACAAAGTTAGCTGGCTTCATTCCATGTTGGGTACGGCATTTTATTTGCACTCATACTTGCAGGCCAAGGTGGTCCGTATCATCACTCTTTGCTCTGGTGAAAGAAGAGAAAAAATGACGATGATCGAGAAACGTGTTTAACCTCTCTGCGTCTGGGATTATAGAATGAAGAAAAAAAAAATCAAGAAACGTTTTCCTTCCATGGCTGTTTTTGCAGCCCTGGTCTTGGGCGACCGTTTCTCTCCCTCAAAAAAGATCTTTTCTCCAACGCACCACCCTTCACAATAATGTATATTTACCGAGCTTTAGTCCCAAAGCATTGGGTTACTTGTTGGGAGGAAAGAGTAAGGTCCTTCACATAATAAGACTTCCAAAATATTCAACCTTGATCGGTCCTTAATGTACAAGAATACTAACAAAAGGGTGGTTTAACTTGTCATCCTAATCAGAAATGCAAACAAGAGTACTTTTCTGGAAAGACGAAAATAATATGGGGGAAGAAAATAGGGGAGTGAGTCAGTGGACACGAGTTTAGCAGAAATTATTTGTGAGGTGATGCGGGCGGCAAACATCAAAGTTCAAACTGATACAAAATAAACACAATCGCCATGAAATCGGAACAGATCTAGATTCATCATCATATTTTCTTCAAGCGCTTGTCAGAATTTCGTTACGACAAAAAAGCAAGTTGACCTGGTTTTCCATTTCGTCAGTTTAAATCAAGAAGAATAGTTATCTAACCATACAGGTTTGTAAATGCATGTATGCACGTCATAGTTAAGTCAGGGATAAAACAGAAATGTAAGTTCAGGTATGTCATGTTTGTAGGTCGATAATTTTATGAAGAGATAAGCGAAAATATTTATTCCTATATTGTCGGAATTGTGCAATATCCAGGAATAGAATGTATACACCTGATAACGGATTATGCCTATGACATACTGACATGATAATCTGCATCAAATGTAATATTTTCAACTTTATGATTCTATCTATCTATCTATCTATTTATCAATATAAAATGTCCCATAGCTTGGGGCCGTTGGGGCGACAATGACATGACCTTGAGACACAAGTTCTTCATAACCCCTGTCTTCAGCTGTTCTACTTTTTTTAGCTGCATGCTCAAATATAATTCCCGTCTACTGCTTGATGTTGGTCTGCCCCCTCTTTCTTCTCCAATCAGTTCCTCCTTGCAAGATGGTGTTTGTCAAGCTATTCTCACATCTATAGTTACATGCACAGACTACTGTAGCTGTCTTCTTCTCACAATTATAATGAGGTGATCATGTCCCTCAGAAACGACGCTCCATTATCTCCCTCACTTTCTTGTTGGATTTATGCGAAGTGTAGTGGATATGCAAAAGCCTTCTCATACAATTATTCATCTCAAAAGCATTGATTCGCTTTCCATCCAAATCTTCGTTTTGGTCAAAATTGATGAACTAACCCCTTGCCATTGTTGCGAAAAGTGGCAACTTTCGAGTATTCCATTATTTGCCCTAAAGCCCCTTTTTGGGAATAAACGGGAGACAGTATAATTCTGAGGGCATGTTAGGGCTATCATCATGATGAGGAAACAAAGAACATTGAACATTTTCGTTTTCGGCAAAATTGATGAACTAACCACTAACCACCTTACCACTTTTGCCAAAAAGACTGAGGCGACTTTCGAATATTCCAATATTTGCCCTAACGCCCATATTGGGAAACAAATGGGGATTAACATAATTCTGAGGTCAATTTGGGAATTTCATGTTGAGAAAACAAAGAAGATTGAAAATTTTCATTTTGAGCAAAACTAATGACCTA